CCCGCCCCGGCAAGACGAGACGTGTCGCTGTCGACCTCGAACAATCGTCCGTCCCGCGGCCGCAGCCGAGGCCACGCACGTCCACCACCACCACCACCTGCTCCTCGCAGGCGCTCAGACAGGGCAGCCCCCACGAGTGAGCAACACGGGGCCCGCGTGCCCCAGCGCAGGCGCCGTCCCAGAGGCTGCCGCACAGGCTTTGAGGTCCAAGACCGCCGGACCGCCCCGCGCTCCCCGCGTGTCCGTGCTGAGTGGATCAGCACGCCGCTCACCTTTCGAGCCATGTGCCGCCTCGCCGTTCAGTTCTGCAGGAAGCGCACCCAACCCTTTCGCTAGCCCTGCGGTGAGTCCGCCTCCCTTCCGGCAGTTCTGCAGTTGTCCTACTGTAGGGGCCCCGGCAGCCGGCTTTGTGCGCAGAACGAGCCGACTCTTCCACCGTGGTGGCGCCCTGCTGCTGGCCTGCTGCCAAGGTCAAGGGCAAACTGAGCGGAAGGTCACTGAGACATATCCACGCCTCGTTTTTGAATCTCTGTAAGTTTGGTACGTCGAGTTGACGTCTACGTGCGCCCTTTGAGGCGGCCGCTTGTGACCACCCAATCTGAGCTTTGGCATCTCAGGCACGGTACTCTTATGCGTCGCAGAAACCTAACCGTACGTCAGCGTTCAGGCGCGCCCTTTTTGAGGCAGTCGTCTGCGATCCACCAGCCTGTTCTTAGGCGTTTGTGGCACGCTTCATTGTTACAACTCAGCAAGTTTGGCATCGTAAATCCCACGTCCAGGCGCGCCCTTCGAGGCAGTCGCTTGTGATCTCCCAGGCCGAGCCTAGGCATTTCAGTCCGTGCGTTGGCGCGCCGTGTGCGGCGCTCGCGTTCCAGCTGACTAGGTTCACTTTCTCGTTCCAAGTACATCACTTGGTGTGCGGCAGATATGTTCGCTTTCATCCGCAGGTCCTGTGAGGCCCCAACCTTTTTCCCGGCCCGGACCTCAGCGTTAGACGTTGCACCCCACAAGCTGCAGACGTGCCTGGCACAGCCGTCAGCATACTGTGTCTTTGTAGGAAGCACTTCGGTTTACTTAGGCTATGGGCCGCCTGTCTAGCCAACCAAAGGTTTAGCAGTCACCTCGGGCAAGACCACGGGCTAGCTAGGCTAAGCCGCTGGCGCTTCCGTGGCAGCTGCGGCTCAGCTGGGTGGAACCTTTGCAGTGCGCGTGGGCGCACTTGCTGGCCATTGCTGGCCGGTTCTTTGGGTCGACCGCGAAAGCTGGGAAGGGCGGCCTACGTGGAGCGGCTTCATCAGCGGGCAAGGACCGACATCGGATGGCAAAGAGCCCGATCTGGGTTTGGGCCCTCACCCCAAGATGGTATCGGCAACATGGAAGCAGCAGGCGGGATAACATCGGGCAGCCGGGCACTTGGTTTTCAACAGCATCCGCAACTTCAACCTGGGATTGAATTGCGCGTTTGCGGGCGCGGGTTGTCGTCGCCGCCAACACCGCAAGAGCGGACCTACGTGAGTTTGGCGCTCTTGAAATGCAACTGTTTGCGGCTGCCAGGCGGATCGCAGCATCATGCATTTCACGGACTGGCGTCAACCGCCTGCTACGAACCATGCCATAAAGCAAGCCCGTTGGCGACGATGTCGACGCGGCGTTCATCTGTGAGCGGCACATCAATGTTTTTATTCTTGCCGTCCTTTTTTGGGCAATCAGCAGGAAAAAGCCGGGAACACCGAACGCCGACTTGTCCCGCGCGCGCCACACGCTGGCCGCTGCAGAGCTTGCAACACGCGATGCAGCTACGTGGCGCGTGCGATGACACGTGCTCGCGGGCCCTTCCAAGCGCTCGGCGCAGCTCAGGAAAATTACCCTTTCCGACGCGTTACAGCACCAACCACAATCCATGCTCCTGATAAATAAAATATCCCAAATTCAAAGACCTTTGTCGGGCCAAATTAGCCGTCCAAGCTAGGTCTAAGAGCAAAAGCTCTTTTTGGGGCTGCAACAGAAAAAAAAACTATTTTCCAAAACCCCGTAAACAAAAGATTGACTTTGATTGGCTGTTTCCTGGGTTTTGTTGGGTGGTGTCTTCGAAGCAAAACCGCACGTAGCTCGTTTGAGGAATCACGGATGTGAGCCGGCAGTTGGCTAACATCTTCAAGGATGCCAAAACACATTTCAAACAAGCACTGCCGCAAGGGCGCATGTGCAATGGGCGACTGCTGGCGTTGATCCTTTTTTTCGGGTGCACATCACGCCCATGAGCCAAACGACCACTACGGTCGGGCAATTTTTTCCCCACGAATTTTTCCATCTGCTCGACGGGTCCCAGTCAGTGACAGCAAGAGCAAATTTTTTGTGCAGGGAGCTGCGAGCGACAGGCCCTCGTGCAGCTTGGGCGCATCCCCACCTACAGTGCACTCCCCGGCAAGTGGGAACTCGAGGAGGGTGGCAGCAAAAGCACGCTGCGAGGCAACAACCCTGACCAAAATGCAACCCATGCTGACCGCGCCTCGCAACATAACCGGCACAGTGGTCGTTGGGGTCAAGGTCGGTGGCCGCTTTGGCAACGAAGCCGCTTTTTGGCTCCGCCTGTTAGCGCAGCACCGATCCTCCACCAAGCGGCAACGCCGGGCGCGCACGACGAGCTCGGGGTACGTCTGGCGCCGTTTGCATCGGGCAGCTGATGGCAGCTGCGTCCAAAGACGACTTCCCAGGTTGCACATGGTCGTCCCCCTGGCTGCGCCTCGCCAGCCCGAGAGAGCCCCCTCTTGACCAGCAGCCTGCTCACCCCCTGCAGACGATATCGTGCATGGCTCACCAGCCCACCGCACAGCCAATATCGCGCACCCCCGGCTTGTCCACCAGCCCCCACACCCCCGCACTATCGCACACTGGTTTGCGGAGCCCCCGTGCAGCAGATATGCCCCCCTCGCCCCCCCCCGCAAATATGTTTTTCTTCATAGACACTCAGGCCCTCAAGACTGGAAGACTTAAGGCCCCAAGGCTGCCAGCCTTATTGGTACACGCTTGCACTTGTTGTTCTTGCATTCCTTATTAGATCTTATTGGGTGTTCGATGTTCGTATCAGAACATCCAAGACTCTTTGCAACAAAGCCCCAGCTCAACCTGAAACAATACAACCCCAGTCAAGCCTAGAGGTTTATCTGTTGTTGGGACATGCCCGAGTGTTTTGTGCTGCCATTATTTTGCAAAGTGATCATCTTGGCGTGTGTTTAATGGAGCTACATCCTGGACTGCAACAATATGCAACATAAGCAACATTTTGAACAGGTGTCGTTCCACCAGCCGCGCCACTCTCTTATTAGGCTTCAGCAGCTTCTGTTGATTGAAGCCTGCGGGATTGCTATTTTTCGCAGCTGCTTTTATTTGGCCTACTACGGACGTTTGTCTTTCTTTCGTGATCTCGGCATCTTGAGCCATTCCCCTTCATCTTCCCTGCACGTCCGTATCTTGAAATGCATTTCCCACCCTCAATCTATAATCCGGGGGGTGTGGAAATTTGGCTGGCTTCTTTTGGAATTTATTCCTAAAGTCTGTACTACTAAGCACCAGTAAGACACCTCGACCAAAAAACTTTCTGAACCCGGTCGACACTAAACCCTAAACAATAAACCCAGGACTGAAGGAAGCTGTGCCCCAGGGTGATAATGAACTGCTCAAAGGCCCCCGCGGAGAACCTCCGCCCATTTCAGCTTTTCCTGAGCCCACCCCCACTTCAGCTTGCCGCAAATCCCCCAGGCTTAGCAACGTTCAACATCTTTACGTTTTGCGCAAGCCGATGCGACTGGCACGAATGTGGAGCAGCCTTCTCATTGATTGCACGCATTCTGCCAGGTCTTCTGGCAGCAGGCATTATTTCCGGAAAAAGCCTGTTCACAGGGGGGCAGGTCATCCTTGGAAATCAGAAGCCAAGGATCCTACGGCTGCGACCAGTCTCAGTTGCACAGCTTGGACGATGTTAAAGTAACTGCTATTTAGACAATGCCGCCGATTGATCAGACGGCATCAGTCTGGCGTCAGCCGATGGCTCGGACCAGAAAACCTTGCGGACATGACTGGGGACAGAGGTTTTCTTTAATTTAAGCATATGAAATCCCAAGCTCAAAGGCGCATCATCACTATCACTAGCAGGAAGCGCAATGGCCAACCTGAGGAGCGTTGAGGCTGAGCTCTCTGAGGGCGTCCGTTCACTTCCCTCGCCTGAGCTGATGAGAACAGGAAACGAATTGCGCGGGTCGATTCCCATGGCCAAGTTCTTGAGTCCAAGACTTGTCTGGTGACTGAACAAGTTGGACGGAACCTGCACCCTGGCAGCAGCTCCGATGCAAAAGACACAGATCCGGAGTCTCTGGTCAGCGCCTAAAGCGGCGTGGACGGGGATTCTCGGCCACAGCTCGGGTTGCCTCCAAACTCCTCGGTCCACAAGTTCTGAGCGCGGAATGAAACGGTGCACCAGGTTCCCAGAGTCCCCAGCGTGATCATGTTTTCGCGACTGGCATCCATTGCTGTACCTTGCTGTGCAAACCAGTTACGACTAATATTCAACAAGTTGCCTGAAGAGGGCATCTCCGATCCTGAAGCACACTTGCCACATCCAGTCTTCAAGAGGGCCCTACGCTGATTGACAATCAAGATGCTATGCATCTCCACATGTGCTTGCCCCGCAAGGTACCTGCCACAGAGATCTGCCACATGCAGGAGGGACCTATCATAGCCGTAGCCAGCAGGTACAAGATCAACTCTCCAAGCTGATAGGAACTCACAAGTAAGTCCTGAACACTGAGACACCGGCGCCCCAAGCAGCATGCACAGCGGGGACAGCATCATAGTGATGCTCCCCTGTCAAGGAAGGCAGAAGTTTGAGCACGGAGGCGAGTGACGAGTGAGGACTTGTTGTACGCACCCCTTGCCCTCAGCGATCTACACGACGGAACAGGAAGGTTTCTAGTTGGGCGGCTAAAAATACCTGGGCTCCCAACTCCATTGTAGACCCAGCCCTGCGTCTTGTCAAAGAAGGGCGTTGTCTTGATAATGGTGGTGTACCTGTACAGAGGAAAGTGCACATCTAACATATTAGACCGATGAGGCTTGGCTCCACCCCCCTTTACAGGCATGGCGAGGGCACGTGATTCGCAGCTCATTGTCCTGGCTCTCCCGATCGACAGGTTCCACGGAAACCTCCAGGGTTTACGGTGCTGAGTGATACATAGCTGAAGAGATGTGCTAGCCTCTGAGCGGCCACCAACCGATGATAGAAGGGGCCTCGGGCCAATCAGGGGCCATTCGAACCCTCGAAACTAGCCAGTCTACAGGCAACGGCTTGGAAAGATGCTGCACGCACCGAGTCCTCGACACCATGTCAAAGAAGAGGCACAGCAAGCTGAGCATAGCATAAGCCTGCTGGCAGCTACTGTGGTGAGCACACACTTGACGAAGCGCTAGTTCTGCGGCAAGTATTTCAGGCTGAGGTGACTGCCAAAGCGTACCTACCCGGGGCTTCAAAGGCCATGTTATGTGCTTTTCGTCTTGCTCTGCTGCGGGCACTCGCTTCTGTTGGATTCATGTAGGATTCTATGAGCAAAGACGCACACAAACACGCTCATCCATGCTGAGGTCACCGGTGCATCTCTGCCATGCCGTCGGTGGTCATCATGAAGGCCAGGAACAGCATCATAGCTGAAGCAGGCTTCGTCAGGTGCACAGCTATTGAAGCGTGTAACAGTATGTAACCGTAGCAAGATGTATCAAAAGACAAGTTGCCAGTCAGCATGCCGCCCACCAAATCGAAAGTGAGGAACTGCAGCATTGCTGTGGCTGACAGCAGCGCCTCACCAAATCCCGTGGCGAGCTGTGGCAGCCATCAAGCGGGTAGCAGTTCCAGATTCGCGTCAAAACATTGAAAACGCCCACCTGAAGAGCGCTCCACCAGTACTTCTTCTCCAGCACAGCCTATAACGAGACAGCCCCTACGGCGCGTGCACAAACATGCCGTGGCTCAGCCTGTGGGGGCGGGCCCTGTGGCACCGGCACTGAGACGTCCTGGAAGAACATCATGGCCTTCTCAAAACCTGAGCATCCACAGCTAAGCCGAGATTGGCCATGGAGCACCAAGAGTAGGCAAGTGGCGTTGCAGAGGGTCAACTCAGCCCTCGCCATACGCAGCGGTTCGCTGTCCATGGGTCTGCAGAACATCAATCATTGCATGCAGAGACTGCGCAGAGTCCATAATTATGCAGCGCCGAACCCTTGCTTCCTGCAAATGCTCTGGAGCTTTTGGCTCCACTGCGGGCATCGGGAGCAGAAACAAACAGTTGTGCCGGCTTTAGCTACAGAAACTGCAAACCCAAGATGGCAAGGCTGACATGTACATTGGACAACTGCAATCCGATTTGGGCCTCCAAGAAGGGAATGGGCGAGGGGTTCCGCCCACTAGAGCCCGAAGCAGCGATGTGTCACGACCGCTCAGATTACATACCAGCGCGAAATAGATAGGTAGGTCATGCACAAAGTTATGCTGACAAGCGCTGCCAGAATCACAAGGTGCATTGCACCCCTTGGCTGCATCTTTGATCTTGGCCGCAAGAAGAACGCTCCATGCGGAACCTTCGGCTCTGCCATGGGATGAATCCTGCGAGAAGACCTAGCAGTACTATCACGACAAGCTACCTGGCTGCTCAGTGGCGCCTAACCAGGTAGGGCATCTCCTGGAGCATGGAATTGCGGATGACAGCCGCGTGACATCTGTTGCCAGTCAGCACCAACTTACCCTCTGGAGTTGTTTCATGCAATATCCAAGGCACGGGAGAGATCGAGCCAGGGGTAGCTGCCGACAGGCGGTTATCATACCTTACATGCAAGGTATGCAAAGGCTCCAGGCTGGCGGTAGGCGTTCAACTCTACTTTTGTGGAAAGGCGGGAGTTACTGTAGTTGACACAAGACATCACAAGACTTCACGCAGAACCAGGAAAGCCTTGCTCCATCGCCGAACAATCTTCTGCCAGTGCTCTCATCCTTTTGAGAAGTCCCAGTTGCTGGATCCGCTGCGCGTTCCGCCAATCAGCTCCTGGGAGGCAAGGGAATCACTGCTGATCGGCACATCTGCCAACATCTTAGATGTCTCCTTCAATAAAGTTTCCATTAATGATGCTGCTGTTGCTTGTCCTCATTGTTACAATTTCTTGCCCAGCTTGACTCTGTTGTGTCCAAATGCTCTGAGCGTCGCTTCAGCTCCGTCGACCACTTTGGGTCCACAGCTTTCCTCCCAGGACATACGGCTGTTACAGTATCAACATCAAATGCATGCATAGCAGCACCCGTCGCGCAGTCATAGTCATGGCGCACAAGCCACATGGATAAGAACATCCAAGGTTCTGAACAGGCACACTGCATTGCGCCATGTATGTCGTTGTCCTGAAAGACAAGCAAGGACAAAAGCAAGGCACATCTCTGCACTAGCAGCGACTCAATTCACTAAGCTGGACTTCAGGGATGTAGACTTTAGACTTGCAGGGACAAAGACAATGCGCAGAATCATCCAAGCTTCAGCTGGGCAGGCATACCTGAATCACAGCCAACGTTTTGCAAAAAGGCAGCAGCTACAGCACAATAGCAGCGGATACCTGCGGTGAGGTCTTGAAGGCCCTGATTATCTGCTTGAGCTCTTGCAGTGAAACCGGACTGTGTCTTGGATTGGCATCTAACTTGCAGCCAACCTGAAGTTCTGCTCAGCTGCCCATATTCAAAGCCGACCGACGGAGGTGGGGCGCATAATCAGGCAGTGCCTCAGCAGAAAACCCTGGAAGCAATGAAAACTGGAGAGGCAACCAATGCAGGCTCCAACCACTGTATCTCAGCCAGGAAAACATGCAAGAAACAAAAAATGTGAAAACCACCATATCCCTCCATCTTGGATGTTGCATCTCCGGCCTTGCTGCGCTGCCGCAGCCCCCCACGAGCCTAACAAAAGCATCTAGGATTCTATGGGGGATTACTATAAGGGTTATTAAGGGGGATACTAGGAGTTTAGACAAGCATCTTTCAGCATCAGGATGCATCGGGTTTCCCAGCCTCTATGCACTCAGGAAGGGTTACAGGTCATGATGGTACATGATTTCTGTTTGACGCGCATCGCCCAATGATCTCGGAAGGTTACTAACCTGCGCACATTGGCTGTGTGCGCATGCAGAACCATTCCCTTTTCTCCGCTGGTCAATTCAGAGCTCTGCATGAAAGAATGGCAGCTAGCTTTAGAACAAGCAAACCTCCCCTGAAATTAAGCTCCATCACACGTGATCCCCCTTGGACCTTTTCAAATTCCTCAGGCCCACTTGTCTCCAACCATGCCCATCCACTTTTCTACGGACAGGGATCGGCGAAAACTCCAAAACATCTGGAAGCCCTTGTGATTTGCCAACGCTTGGTCTATGGAATCTATTAGCTGGAGGATTTCACGTCAAGATCAGTTTCGGCCTGCTCAGTTGGATTCAACGAAGGAAGCGAGGCCGAGGTCGTCAGCGAATGAGGAATCTGCTGCTTCCGACATCAGGGGGCATTGTGCAAGCACCACGTATTGCAGAGCATGTTTCAGGGTCAGTTAGGAGCTGGCAAACGCTTTATGTGAGTGTACAGTATGCAATGGCCTCCAGGATCAAACTCCTGCGGTCCTTGGTTCGCAAGTCCTCAGCATTCCTGACCTCAGTAGTATGCTCTGAGGATCTCTGGGGGGAAGCATCCATGCAAAATTGATCAAAATCGCAGCAGTTGCGGGTGCCAAAAAATGTCTCATCTCAGTCCACAACACCAAGGTGGGTGTCCACAATTGGCCTTGTGTGCAGCAGCATTCGCACAAACGGCAAAAGGGTAGACTGTTGACCATGATTTCAGATGCTGCCACACGCAAGCCGCTCTATATTTTTTTTTGGGGCGAATTGGATGGGCCGGGTTGCGACCAAATGATGAAGGGCTCGTCTTGCTGATCCATGGGTCCTCGAACTTGCAGCGCCCCGACCCCACATGTACGCCAACTCTCCCCACACCAACCCCAGAGTCAGTTCACGATATCACTTTACGCATGTCCCTTCAAACGCCTCCACCCTCAGCCAACGATGTCTGCGGCCGTGCGGGCGTAGCGGTCCGAGAGGCTCGGGACACAGTCAGACCCAGGCCTTTCTCACTCAGGCTGTCCTTGGAAAAGTCTGCTTTGTCCTGCCAGTTCCTTGATGAAGGAATTATGCGCCTTCACTGACATGCTGCCCCAGTCACGATGGCTGCCAGCTGCTCAGACCGATCACTGAGGCGGCTCAATGCTTGAACGATTCCTCTTCGCATCTCCTGCCATAGAAGCAACATGTGCCAATTGCAGTCAGATGATCCCTGACTGACAAAGGGCCTGAATACAAAAGTTAGCGAACACAAGCTTGTCTGGAGACATGGACAATTGGAACTTAGACATGATGGCGCCAAAACCCAAAGGGCCTCCTGCATTGTCCCATCACAGGTCCAGGCTTTGGGCGCAAGCCAGACAAACGAGTACGAAAGGTGGAACTGTCTGAGAAAAAGAGTTTTTGAGTGTGTCTGCTGAACGCATGCTCATGATTGCTCATGTACAACGTAATGGGGTAACAAACCTGAAGCAACTTTCTGCAAATAAAACAATAGAAATCAATAGAACATGCGAATACGATGTCCACGACGGATCTGCCAGGCACCACGCTCTTGCAGGATCGTCTCGAGTATTCTCTAATATTCTTTAGTAGGGCCCCCAGCTTTCTTCAGAGATGGGGACGGATTTCAATCTTTGTATGACGTCAGAAGGGGGCGGGTGTGAGGGGACCCCGTATTGATATTTCAATCTGAAGAGGCACCCGTGCAACCGTGATGTTCTTGATAACGCATCAGAACCCAAAGCCAATGGCAAAGTTGGCGCATGTCCAGTGATTGGTTAACTACAACGGCGTTAGCTGGAAGGAGCTAGCTGCTTGCGTGACAAGACAATGTGAATGTACTGTAGAACTGGGCGTACGTTGTTGCAGAGTTCTCGCATCGTGTTTATCAGATCCTTGTCGTCAACCAGGACCTGCGCCGCGGCGTCCGCCAGCGCATGTGCAGCGACAGGCTCCATGATGGCTGAGAGCTGCTTTGTGGAGTCTGGAAATTTCTGAATGTGAGATGCTATGGGGCCATGAAAACGTTCGTGAAGCACCCGGCCGCCTTCAGCCAAGACTGAAAAGCAACAAAGCTTTGGGACTGCACATCTTGCCAGCGGAGGCGCCCAAGCCGGACCATCAAATGCGAGCCATTTTGGACCGTGCGCCAAGGTACCCTTCACACAGGTCTGTATAGGCAAGAGCTTGCTGTAGTAGAAATAGTAGGATGCATGTAATTAGCCATAAGAGCCATTAGTCATTTGTCCTTGCCAGAAAAGTCAGACACCTATCACATCTTCCACAAGTGAGCTGCGTGGAGCACCTCTAGATGCTCTGGGCTCTAAATGGCAAAGTTGGTCTCGGATGACTCGGGCACCTTGCCTGGCTGAACGCCTCTAACGCATTCTGTTTCCCAGCAACATGAGCCTTGCCCGCAGGACCACTTGCGTTTAACGAAGTCTCTCCGAGGCCGCCAAGTCGTGCAGAAAGCAGGTGCAGAAAAAGGACGTGGTCGGCCGAAAGCACCATCAGTTCTTGTGTTTCCATGCTGTACTCCACCGCGAATAACCCCAAAAAGCAAAGTGCAAGTGGTCTCTACCAGTTCAACGTGGCTCAGCAAATCCCGACACGAACAGCTACTCTGCCCAGCAAATACACCGGACATGAATGGACTGCGGGACTGTGGTGCTCTGTTCTCATTTCACTTCCTCACTTGAATGCTGCTGCCAAACGCCTGCAAATTATGTAGGGCAAATCCTGTGGCGACATGTCCGCATTCCACGCCTGCTTCGGAGGATGCAAAAACACGTGCACAGAATTGTTCGACAGAGATGGGCAACCATCTCTGTCACTTTACGAATACATAGCGACATCCGACGATAAGTGAAACTTGTCGCTCTCCTCGAAGG